TAGTACAGTTTCAATAATTAATACATTACGTATTGTTGTTTTAGTGGTTATTTATTGTACAAGATGCAGACATGATATCCTGTCCACAAACACTATTCAAACAAATCTCTCTATTCATTGAATTAAGAGAATGCAGCTGTATATCTATCCTATTTTGAATATACAGATACATCCCCCTTTTTTGTTTAGTTTTGTCATAGATGGGTATTCCATTGTCATTTAAATATTGTAGGGCATGAATTCAGCAAAATATTCCAGTATAATCCAGTAGTCCGTAATAGTAGTGGGTTTTCCGTAAGACTGGCTATGTCAGAAGTTGTTGACTTGAGCCTTTTATAGCTCAGTATATTAATATGATTTTACTTTTTATACTTCGTTTTTATACTTTTCTGCTGGATGGTTAATACCTAGACAAAGCAAGACCTATATAACAAGAAATGTAACTTTTGAACATCAGTCAAATCCCCTCAGGATTTATCCTGAAACCCTGTACCCCAGTTTGTAGATCCTTTGTCAGTGTCAGCCATGTGGATGAGTCACAGCCACTGCTTGACCAATGTGCTCTCTGTGAAAGCCTGAGAAAATGTTTTCTCTCCATGTGACTCTCCTTAGGCACACTCTACATCATCGATCACTTTCCTCTGTGGCCCATAATCTTCTTGATCAGAAAATTTGAGACACAACTGAGTTACATGATGTTATAGTATAGGTTCTCCTATATCCTGAGTCTTCACTGACCTTGAAAGGCTAGGGCCAAGCTGTTGGCTGTCCTTGCAGCCCTTCTTTTTCTCTAATTTTTGGTCTGCAAACTTAGGTTGTTAACCCTGCAGAAGAGGAGCTTATTATTACCCTACAACATATGCAGAGCTTAACCTCACAGGTATTTTCCATCAAGTATTGACATGTTAAACTGTTAGTGCCTACAAAATATGAAGAAAAAAAATTTTTTAATTAAAAAATAGGAATAAACAGTTACATATTTTTACACAGAAATTTAGAAATCTGACCATATACAGCATTGAAGCAAGACAGTCCTGTGACATTTTTTTTCTTGTCTCGTTTTCATTTATTACCCTTTTTTTTAAACAAACATTTACTTGAGAGACAGTATGACACTAATTGGTATGTCATGACAAGCAGTACATATTTAGAAGACCAGAATGACAGGCATTCCAAGCATGACCCTACCATTACACATTGCTATCTTCGGTGCAGTTGCTTAGTTCACAGGTATCAGCATATATAGTTAGTCAGAGTGAGAATCATAGCAATTAACTGCTAGTTTCAAAAACATGCTGAAGATTCTCAGGATCATTGCCTTACGCATCTTGTGCATATAAATGTATGACTTTGCCCCTGTCATGTTTCCTAGCTTTTCTCCTTGCCCTCTCTTTGTTGTCTAATCAAGTTTTCACTTTCCTTTTAATTGTGTTGTACCTTTCTATTTTTATTTCTTCTTTTGAGTTCTTATACTAGGGAGACTATATAATAATTATACATGTGGGTCTGGTTTATTTCACTTATGAGTATATCTTCAAGTTCTTGCCCCTTCTTGTGGTGACCTATCTCCTGCAGTGACCCAAGTTGTTGATACATGGGACCTTCATCATTTTTACCTCTCTTCAACTAACAGTAAGTTATTGTCTTTCCTGACTGGATAAAACTCTCCACAAGGGGCTGGGGAGATGGCTCAGTAGAATAAGCACTTGCCTGGCAAGCGCAAGGGTCTGAGTTCAATCCCCAGTTCTGCCAAAAAAAAAAAAAAAAAAAAAAAAAAAAAAAAAAAACCTCTCCACAAGTCAAAGTAGATGGTGTTATCACATATAAATAGGAAAATATTTCTTGTGTGGGGTTGAGGGGGAAAAATAAAGAAACACAACATTAGCTTTCTTGGCATCTTTCTACCTTTTAAATTTGGTTGCTAAGAAGTATAGATTCATAAGTCTGCAAAAAGGACAAACTTAAGTCACTGATAGGAGACAGTGCATGTTGTGCCACCCTATTTGTCACTGAGCCATTACAAAGTCCTTCCCTGATGTAGAAGCTGTGTGTTAAATTTCCAAATAGAAAACATGGCCAGTCACCTGGAAAACCATCAGAACTCCAAAATTCCTAGAGAGAAGTTGGGCTCTTCACTTGCTGATATCACATGAAGCTAGGGAATCCTCTGAACTGTGAAGCCATCCTAATTTGCCAAAACTACCTGTCATCTTCTTTGGAATATGGGCCTCCTAGATGATTCTGGGGTTTTTTGTGAGTTCTTATAGAAACTTCACCTTAGTATTTTACTGTGCCCAGAGCTGCCCTGAATTATTTTTAATGAAATGATGGTGCCTCTTCTTGCTGATGGGGCTCACTGGAGTTTAGTCACTGCTAAAGGACTCAGGGATCTTTGCATGTCATATGGAACTTGGTAATTGGAAGGCATGATAATGTGAAGATTGTAAGAAACTAGTTTTTGCTCAAGGCAAGAAAATCTAATTTTAACTGATTTGTTCAATAGATACGCTGTCACAATTTTTGCATACTGTTATGCTTTATATCTAGATGCTCTTCCAAAGCCTCATAGAATTATAGGTGGGACATTGGGAGGGGGCTGGATTGTAGGGCTATCATAGCTGCCTTGCCGCTGCAGGGCACTGTGGGTGTGGCCTCTGGAAGGTTACCTCTCCCTTCCCTCTCCTCTCCTGCTTCTCTGCTTCCCCACTGCCACAACATGAGCACCTTTCCCTCTGCTGTGCCCCTCAGCCATTCTGTCCTGCCTTAGAGCCAGAAGACTATGGATTGAGACCTCTACAAGTTATGAGTCAAAATAAACTCCTTCTCTTTTCAGCTGTAGAAGACCAGATATTGGGTCTCTGCAGCAGAGAAAGAGACTAAGGCTCATGCTGGACTTTGGGATACAGTGATCAGCATAATGCATACAGACCATACCTCAGAGAACTGACTTGGGGTGGAAAAGAGATGAACCTTTACTAGAGCTTTGTGGGTAGATGAGTGATGTGTTATGAAGGGAAAGAATACAGAACATCAACTATGTGCTGTAAGAGACCTGGTCAGGGTCTCAAAGAGACATCTCTTACAAAGCAGCTTTATAAGTCACACTCAGGCCATCAGTGACTTAAGTGACACCTTATTTGACTTTGAAAGTGACCCTGACCTGCTGAGTGAATTCAGTGGCACTGCTTCACCATGAGATGGTTCTTATGTAGCTCCAGGAGCAGTATCAAGAGCAAGAAATAGATAGTTGGTCATTGCTCCAGTTTTCTGGCCAGAGTTCCTAAAGCCCTTGGGATTGCCTCACAGGGAGACCTCTGACATTCACTCAACCCCTTTCAGCCACTTCTGAGCTTGTGCAAATGGAGCGATTCGTGTTGAGCCATTAACGTCCAGATGGGGACTTGTCACCAGAGGCTTCAACTGTGTGATTCAAGTTTTAGAACTTTCAGTCTCACCCCCGACCCTTGGAAAAGGAGAGGAACTGGAGATTTTCAGTCACTGGTGGTCATTGAACTAAATCTATAAAATTCCCAAAACCAGAGAATTCAAGTAACTTCCATGTTGGTGACCAAACTGCTGGGAGGTGGCACACATGGCAACGACAGGAATGCTACCCCTCACCCCCATACCTTGCTTTTTGCATCTCTTCCATTTGATGGTTCCTGGTTGTATCATTTATAGCAAACTGATAAAAGTAAAGCCTTTTTTTAATTTTGTGAGTCATCCTAGTAAATCCTCAAGCTTGAGGAAGATGTGGGAATACCCAGTTTGTTAGTCAAATCAGACAAGTGTGGGTAGCTGGGTTCCTGAGACTTGGGATGGCATCTAAAGTGGGCAGCATAGTGGCCCCAGCATCAAGCCTGTGCATTGTGAGATGACTCCCATAGTGGTTTCCCCAAAAGTGTCACACTTTTCCCTCTGGTTGAGGAGCAAATGGCAATTTATGATTTTGACTCTCAGCAGTCACTAACCAAGCTGGAGTATGAGGTTGGTTAACACTGAGCTATAAAAGTAGACTTTTTTTACATCAAACGGAAGTGATGTAATAGCTTGTTATTCCAAAGCAGACCTGTTTCTTTGTCAAAGCTCTTGCCTAATGCTTCATCACTGCCCACACCTCCTTCCAGGGAAAATAAAACTTGGAGGAGATAAGCAGCCTTGACCGGCTAGAAAGTTTTTAAAGGCCTTCTCTGGGTTGGGCAGGTAGCAGCAGCTGTGCATCGCAGGCATTGGTGGGTGGTATTTACTGAATCCTCTTTTTCCAAGTCCCTGATTGACAGCTAATGTGATCCATTATTGGTCCATTGTTGAAAGGTAGATTTGAGAAAGAATTTTGTGTCCAAGTTGCTTTATCACAGTGAAAGGATTTACTGATGTACTGAATTGGGGTCACATACTTATTGTCACTGGCCTCTGGGGCCTCTGGGATTTTTTGAGAAGTTCCTTTTGACTGTGTAATATGACTTAAATATTATAAGCTGTCAATGACCTTGCAGCCCTTGCTGTTATGTTTCCTTGGAGCCAAAGTGGTGTAAATAAAGCTCACTTCCTGGTTTGTTTTGCTTCAGTCTAAGATAATGTCCCAATTGACAAAGACATCTTCTCTTTAAATTGTTTTACCAGAAAAGAATTGGCTTTCTTTATAAGAGTTCCCCTCTTCATTTGTCACTGTAATGATTTCCAAGTGCTTCCATGATACTTATTTTACCATTAGGATCAACTCTTCAGCTAGTACATTGTATTGTAAAGCTGAGATGAGGAGGGTCTAGACTTAAGGGCACATAGATGATGGTGGAAGCAGATCTGGGACTCACTTGAATGTGCATTTGCCACTGGATAGCCAGCCACTGGTGGGGGAAGTGGAAAAATGACATGAGACTGAATTTAATAAATGCAACCTCTCGGGCTTGTGAACAGAAGGTAGGAAAGTAAACTAGAACCGTAGCTTTTCCCTAAAGTGGCTTTACATCTTTTACAGGGCAGCGGATCAACAAATAGAAAAATCAATGACTACAGCAGACCAGTAAGTGAAGAAAACTTTTGTAAAGTTGCCCCATGTTTGTGAACACCAACTTGGTGACACACAGACAGAGAGGGAAAAGCTGTAAGCATCAGTAGTTTTACCTTCGTCACAGTGGTTCAGACTATCAAAGTCTACAGCACAGCCAGTATGATGAGGTGAGAAGTGACTGTAACCTCATTTGTGGGTCCCTTGAGTAGCCACAGTGACCCACACCCACATGCTGAAGTATCCCAAGGAACAGTGATAACTGGGGGGATTGCTGGAGGTTTTGGGCAAAAGCCCTGGCTCCCAGGGTCCAAACAGACCAGGCCTGGCCTCCTGTCCCCAAACTCCAAAGACATGAGCAGTGGTAAAGGAAAAAAATGAACATAGCCACATGGAGAGAAGAGATACAAAGGCTCAAGGTCTGTCCTGACAGGAAATTTGAGCTCTTATAGAAAAGCCAAGGGCTGGAGGTTTGCACAGCTGGCAGGGTGGATAATCCAAATCAAGTCATGGTCCAGTAGTTATCACAGGACTGGTTCTGCAAGGTGGTTCCAGAGGAGACCGCAGGTGTTCTAGACAGACACTCAGGTAGAAATCCAGTTCCTGTGAAGTGATTGCTTAGGGAACAGCCTCCATTCCTCCATGGGATGATTGCTCTCAGAAGGGAGGCATTGTGATCTTATCATGATTAGGCTCTGCTTTTTTTTTTTTTTTTTTGGATACAGAGTCTCACTACACAGTTCAGACTCATAGTGATCCTCCTGTCTCAGCTTCCTCAGTGCTGTAATGCGCCACCGTGCCCAGTTTTGGAGCCAGCACTGTGTGCTGAGGGTTCCAGGGCTGGCACGGAATGTGGTACCAGGATTGAACTCGGATCCTTGTGTTTGCCAGGCTATCTATCACTTAGACCACTGAACTATCTCTCCAGCCCAAGGTGCTGATTTTCCTAGAATCTAAGGACTATAGGCTTAAAACAGTGACTATAGTTTTCTAGGTCAGGATCTTATGAAGCAGGCAACTGGATATCCCTACAAATCTTGAAAATATAATAGTTACTCTTATATTCACATCTTCATATTTAAAGGAGGATAAACTAGACTAGGTAAATTTAGGAATAGCAAACATTGTATTACTGATTTTTAGACACACTCAAGTGATTAACCTTCCTACATGTAGAGTTAAGCAGATATCTGACCCAAAATTTTAAAGTAATAAGGATAGTTACAAAATGAAGGCAGTGATGCCAGGCTTTATTCTGATCTTATTCTGGAGAATCTGCCACCTCTCCTAACCAAATCCTTCTAATTCAAAGTCACAAACAAAATTCATAATATAGCATTTAGTGTTTACTGTACTACCCTGTGACTCATAGATAAAGCAAATTTACCATTAAAGTAATATTTTTTGTGTCTGGTATATTCTCTAGAACATCAAGGGCCCGTTGTATACTTAATTTATATGATTTATATTCATTTTAAAGCACTAAAAACAGTTTTCCTATTTTATATGATTATGGATTTTTGTGGTAAAATACACAGTACAAAATACATTATTTTAACAATTTATAAATGTGTAATTTAGTAGCATTACCCAGATTCATGCTGTTCTACAGCCATGATTATTATAGACTTTACAGACAGTCCTTGGCTTGGGGTTCAGTGGCCATAACTGACTTGTCTGCAGCAAGGCTTGTGACTGAGGTGGCAGACATTGTGTCCACAGGTGAAGATGGTGTCAGAGCTGTGAAGGTTTGTGTCTGGATGTTCCCTAGGGCCTCATGCATGCACAGGTGGGGCTTTGCAGAGCTGGCAGGGTCTAGAGAATGTTATACTGGTATTAAGGCTGTGTGACAGTAAATTAGTCTACTGATTGGAATTACTATAGTTCTGGGTGTAGCTGCATAATAGACTGGATGGAATAAAAGAGAAAGACTGCTTGCTGCTGTTGCTTTCTGCCTGCCCTGCCATGAATGGCTCTGCTCTGCAATGCCTGTGTGCCACACCACTGTGCCTTAGAGCCAGCTTTCCATGGACGGAAACCTCTACAAACTGTGAGCTGAACTTGGAGTTTAAACTTGTGGGTATAAGGTATTTTGTCTCAACAACAAGAAAGTGACTAAGGTACTTTCTTTAAATGTTGCATCACAGTCTATTAGCTTGACAATTTGTTTTACTTGTGTTTCATGTGGTAAATGATTGAGAAGGATTCTTTTTTTTTTTTTTTTTTTTTTTTTGGCTGGTTCAGGCTGCCTTAAGGACGCACCTGGTGTGGCATGTGATGCTGGGGTTCAAACCATAATCCCTTGCCCCTGACTGATTTTGCTCAAGAAGGTGCTTTAGACAGCTAAGTTAACCCACCAGCCCCCTGGTAAATGGTTGAGAAAACGTAGTTCTGAAGTAATGTGATATGTTCCAGGGCTGACTTGGAAATCACTAATGAGGTGGAAAGCCTTACTATCTAGTGTGGTTTCTGTTCACAGGATGATATTTGAAAGCTACATTTTAAATGATTAATCTTAGATAAAGCCATCTTTCTATTAATAAATTACCACCTTGAAGGCTTGATTTATGCCTACTTTTGTGCTAAGGGTTTGTTTGTAGTTGCTTCATTTAATTCTTGAAACAAGGGCCATGGAGATAGATCAGTAGAATAAGTGCTTGCCTGGCAAGTGCAGGGTCTTGAGTTCAATCCCTGGTACCGTTAAAAAAAAAAAAAAAAAAAAAGTCATTGAAAATGCCTAATTCTTGAAACAGTTTCATTCAGCAGAAGCCACCATTCTTACTGTTTTATAGATGAGAAAGGTGACACTTGGATAGCACATCTACAATCCAGCAGGTAGTAAATGACAAAGGCACAATGATCTTTGCAAGTTTGCTCCTCTCTCTGCCATGTCTTCTAAACATTCTTTAAGATTTTAGGATAAGAACCAGGCCTAACGTTGTAAGTTAACATATTGAAGGCATATGATGTTTATTTATTAAGCCAGGCTGTATTTATAAAACTAAGCTGCATTTAGATGATATGAAATTTATTTTAACCTCTATGTATGCCAGGAAGAAAAGCCATGCAAAACATGATCATTTACATGCAGATTAAATGTGAGTTATTCATCCTGTTATTAAATTGGAGGGTGCGTGTTTCTCTGCATGCGGTGGTGCGCGCAGGCTGCAGCATGGCTCTGGCTATCTATCATGTCAATCTTAATTACTTAATAGGCAGGCAGGATGGAAGGAGTTCTTGTTGGCTCTGTTTAGCTAGAAGAAATGCTGAGTGATGAGCTAGAAAAGCAGTGTACCTCTCATTTCTGAATCTTGTCTTTTCTCTAAGATGAATTATAGATCTGAAAAAGGGATGCTATAGTCTATATAAAACTCCTTTTTATATAGCTTTTGGAGGAGGCTTGCAGCAGATGGCACTTAAAGATGCTATGAGTTCTGACTGCTATGAGCTGGAGCAAGTTTTTTTTTTTTTGAGCAAGTTTTTTTTTTTTTTTTAATTTCTCTGATTCTCTGCTTTTTCACCTTCACAACTGTGATCGTAATACCTACCTCACCCACTACCAATGCTAGCCTTCCCCTTTCTTTTTTTTTTATTTTATTTTTTCCATTTATGTATTTGGTACAGGGTCTCACTACACAGATTGGACTCGTTGTGATCCTCCTGTTTTCAACCTCCCAGCACTGGGAATACAGGCATGTGCCACCAACGCCCGTATTCATTCACTGACTCAGTGTTCCCGGGGGAGGGGCCAGCACGGCATGCAGGACCTGGTCCCTGCACTTGCCAAAGCAGGTGCATAGTCCGCTGAGCTATCTTGCCGGCCCTCTAGCGTTCCCCTTTCTATCTCCCATCGTTCCTGTGCACTCAGTAAATAATTGCTGAGAATTTGTTCTGTTGCTCAGACCTGCACATTCAACTAGAGCTCAGAGAGGGAGACTGGAAAGGATTTAGCCAAGTAGTTGTGATGCAACTTAAAGGCAGTATAATATCCATGCTCCCAAATGCTAAGGAAGTATGAGATTGACTTTCCTGGGTATGGTGATGTATGCGTGTAAACCCAGAACTATGGGAGACTGATACAGGAGATTGCAAGCTCAAGCCCAGCCAGAGCAATATAGCAAGATCCTGTCCCAAAATAAAATAAAATAAAAGGGCTGGGCTTTTTAGTTTGGTGGGAAAGCTGTAGGTTTAGTCCTCATTAATGCAAAACATTTTTTCAAAAATATAAAGTATGGCATCATGACTGTTGATTTGGAGGAGCCAGTCAGGTAGCAGTGTTTGTTTTAAATATCATTCATGTTTCAGCAGTGTCACTCATTGGAAGGCCTTGTGTTTGATCTCCAGTACTATAAATAAATGCATCTCTTTTATGCTTCATGACCACTTAACATGGGGTAAACATTAAACCCACTTTTTTGGTCAGAAGTTAGCTCAAACTAACAACTAAGCTGATTTCCAGTGCACAGCAATTTGATTTTTCTCATTGTGTCAAGTACTGTTTTATAGTACATATAGCATTCTTTATAATGATCACTATCAAGGGCGACCAGCTTTATGAACCTAAAACTATCCAAGGTCATGCAATATTGTCAGCCTGATCGTTGCTCACAGGGTTGTGGGATTTTAATATTTATGGAGCACCTGATATATGTCAGGCCCTCGCCTTCCTGGAGTTTGTGGTCTGCAGGAAAAGCAGACAGTACAATTAGTAGGCACAGAACAGCACAGTATACAGCCTTCTTAACTTAGGTGATGGCTGACGAATTTCATCTTAGTGTACTCCTGTTGCATTATAAAGCTAACTTGTTAAAAAGAAAGATTGTGAAATAATTAGGCAAGATATTAAGGTTATTTAGGAATGCTGTGGCATTATGCAGTGGCCCATCACTGATTCGAAATGACTCACAGTCGTTCTAATGCAGCCAGTCATGCTGAGTTTGACAGCAGTTCTACATTCCAGTTTGTGAGCTGTCATGTTTGCTGGCTAAGTTGGCAAGGATGAATTTTTCTTATTTCGTCCTGAAGGGTGAAGGCTGAACCTGTGCTGCTCATCTCTGTACCTGCCATGGGGTGATGAAAATGCCCGAGGCTCTGTCCCCACCACTTTCTTTGCCACCATCTGTGTACCAATTATTTTCTCATTTTATGAGAGCCAGGCCTTCTCCATACTCCTGTTCCTAATTGGGTAATGGGACCTGCCTGGCGCCATGTCACGTAATCATTCAGTAAGGACTGAAATGCTCTTGGTGCACACTGGGCGTAACCAGCCATGGCATCACCCAAGGTGGGCTAACCAGTTACTACTTGGGGCTCTAGTCAGGCTCAAGATGTAATACTGTGTCAAACTTACTCTTTAAATATTTGTTCACGGCACTTAAGTGGAAAAACTAAGTACTATGTGGAGAGAGGCACATTTAGGAGCCTACCTAGTTCTGCCTTTTGCTGCTTTCCAGGATCTCTACTGACCAGAGAGAAATAGCACCTGGAATCCTCACCTTCCTTCCAGTCACTTCCAGTGTGTCCTCTTGCTTTTTTCCCCTTAGTACCTGTTCGCAGTAAATAGCAATAACATTTATTGTGGGCAGTTCTATCTTCACATAACCATCTTCGCTGTTTTTCATACTGACTCCTCCCATCCCTCTCTGCTCCTTTCAGCTCTTGGTCCTTTTCCCATTTACAGGAGCTTGACTTCCAGTTTTTTCTACAACTCTTTTCCATTTCCCTTCTCCTGCCCTCCCTCCATTTCTAATTCCCCTTCCTGTTTGAGAAAGATTTCCCTGCTTCCTATTACCTATCTTCTTATTTTATTTTATTTTATTTTATTTTATTTTGGTACCAGGGATCAAACCCAGGACCTTGCACTTGCCAGGTAGACACTTATGCCACTAAGCTATATCCCTGGCCCCTATCTTTTATTTTTATTTTGAGTAAATGAATGTACTTTAAGACCATAATATTAAGTAAAATAAATCAGAAACACAAACTTCAGTAATGCATAGTTTCTCTTATATGCGAAACCCAAAATATAAATAAAAACTTCTCAGTGTCTTCTTTAGCTCTGAAAGACACACTGTGGTTGATTTTGGGGGACATAAACAAATATTACCCCAGATCTCAAGGAACTTGAGGCAAGTTAACTTATAAAACTTAAAGTATTTTAAGTATCTGTAAATATGTCTGCTAAGCACAAGCAAAGGAGCCATGAATTCAGCATGCAGTGGTCAGAGTGGCCCATGAAGGTGATTCCGTGGGCTCCTGAATGGGACAGATGGTGAACAGTAGTGTCCTTCTTTCAGGATGTTGGTTTTTAAATTTTCTACTCGGGCTGGGGAGATGGCTCAGCGGTGTAGGGGCCTGCCTGGCAAGCACAAGCACCTGGGTTGGATCCCCGGTAATGCATGGTGTGCAGAGCCCAGAACCCCAGCATGCTGTGAAACTGGGTGTGGCGGCACACCTGTAATCCCAGCACTGGGAGGCTGAGACAGGAGGATCAGTAGTAGTCCAAGCTGTGTAGCAAGAACCTGAACCAAATAAATAAACAAACTTTAGGAAAGATTTTAAAAAATTTTCAACTTCATGAAATAAGAGAATTTAGTTGAATATATCAGTAGCTTGGAACTTACAGATTGCACAGGCAGAGTGAGTGAGGAGAACACTATGTGATTCCTGCCACAGCTTCCCCCTGCCGTAGCTCACCTGCAGAGTCCTGGGCTGTACTTTTACCCTTTCAGGCCCTGCAACTAGTGATTCCTGACTGAGGGCTGGGGATGTAGTTTGGTGATAGAGCACTTGCCTAGCATGTCTAACGGTCTAGTTTTGATTTCCAGCACCAGAAAAATAAATGAGTGAGTAATTCTTGGCTTCTTCTTAGATCTTTGCCTTTATGATTTTATGTGCCTATCACTATAGGAAACTCACATGAATGGAAAACAGTCTCAGATTCCAAAACTGCATAGTAGATCCTTGCTGTATGATGGAGGAATTTATTTTGTTAACCCTATCTGTGCTGACCAGGAGGAAGAAAGAACACCCAGACTCATCTGCTTTCACAGTAAAAAAAACCAGGGGATCTTTCGTTTTTCTATCAAAGATCAGGTTCTACCTACTGTTCCTCAATCCTCGGTCACTTTGGATATTTCCTGTGTCCCTTCGTGTGGAGGTAGCTCAGTAGAGTAAGTTCTTGCCTGGCAAGCACAAGGGCCTAAGTTCAATCCCCGGTTCCATAAAAAAAAAAAAAAAAAAAAAAAAATTCTCAGTGGGAGCCTTGTAAAAGAAGCTCTTACAGGAGAAAGAAGAGAATTCAGTGAAGTGATTGTTTTCTCCAAATCTTCTAGGGTACTTTTCTTTAAAAATTATCTTGGAATTAACTTTTGAAGTTAAAAACACACATCTTATGTCCAACCTGTGGGGAGAGAAAGTGTTCCTGGGGGTAGATAAAGCCAGTTTGGTAACACTTACAAGTAGCATAGCCGGCGGGTGGGAGCGCCTGGCTCCACAGCAGGGCCTTTGTTGTATCCTCTAGCAGGAGTGATTTATTCTACTATAGGAAATGTTGCCAGTTAGAATTTTCAGATTTTATTCTTACAGCTTATTACTTTTGGGTGCTGCTGAAGAGGGGGAAAGAGGATAACTTGCTACAGTTTCTGAAATTGGCTTGAATAATTTAGTTTTACCCTGGATAAAGAAACTGAGCTACCTTGTGTTTCTTTTACTTGGCAACAGTGGCTTCTTCCTGAGCGCCTTCATTAAGCTCCACCTTGATGCCTTCTTGGCAAAATATTCCTCTGGCTTCTGTAAATTGAATAGAAAAGACAAATGAAATGTGTTAATATGCATGATAGGGAATATTCAACTTAATTTAAAAAAATGCAAAATAAAACAATAATATCAACTTTTATGTGTGGAATTAGCAAATGCTTTTAATGTTTTGTTTTGTTTTGCAGTACTGAGGATTGAACTCAGGCCCTTGCGCTTGCCAGGCATGCACTTATTTTACTGAGCTATCTCCCCAGCCCGTTTTGTTTTTAATGATAACTCCTATGTCTGTTGAGAGTGCTATTGATGCATTATTTACAGGAGAGAAAGTTACTGCGGCCTGTTTTGTTTTTTTTTTGTTGTTTTTTTTTTGTTGTTGTTGTTTTTTTTTGGAGGGGCGGTGGTTGATACCATGTACCAGAGACTTTAAAAGGGCCGTGCTGTATAGCCCAGTACACTTGTTTTGGAAATCTAGGCAAAAGCAATTACAGTAGTATAGTGTATAGATGTTTATATCATTAGGGGTAAAAAATGTAAAAATTCATAGGAGGATGATTTTGGGAACTATGGGTCCATGTATAAAGTATTATCTTCTATCAATAATGATGTTTAGAAAAACTTTAACAATGTTAAGAAAATGCATGATATATAATGAGGCAAAAGCAAATGTTAATATTGTGCATTTAATCAAACAACAAAAATAATCACCAAACTGGATAGAGAAAGACATCCCAAGTATTAAGAATTTCTGGTCATTTTTCCTCTGTTTAATTTAAAAAAGCATAGATATTTTCAATGGGTTTTTTCTTTTACTTGTAAAAGTGCCTCAGGTATAATACTTATTCTGTGTTAAAAATTTAATATTCACAGTTTATGCCGTGTGATGAGATGGCGTGTGTAGCTTGTGATGTGACTTACTGCTCTCCCTGGGTGCTCGTTAATGCCTTTTGTGAGAGGCCATGTTCATTTTTTTTTTAATATACTGACTTTTCTAAAAAGTGTTGGTTTTATATTTTATAAAATTATAAATTTTAGAAATTTTAGGGCCGTGTAAGTGGATAATCTCATAGTCCTGTGATGCATAATGTATGACAGTATGTTTATGATTTCTCTTTAGGAATTCCACAAATTGAAACTAATCGCAGTTTCTGGTTGACCAGCATTCATAGGGTAAGATGACTATCTTGGGTTGTAAACTAGGGTGAAGATAATTACAAGTAGGTTGGTAGATTGGGGGAAAATGAAGACAGAAAGAAATTGCTATTCTTACAGATGTTTCAAGTAAAGTCCATTTAAAGTATTTTTAAAACAAATTTAAACCTTTGTGTATTTTAATTAAAATACCATCTTCCTGTCCTTTGTGGGTTTTGTAAGCAGGAAGGTCTATGCTGTATTTGTATACTTGTCACTGTTTTTCAACCTTAGAGGTCTAAGGAATAGTAAGTCTCTACAAAAGACGTGCAAGTCCGTGTCTGTCTCTTCTTGAAGTTTTGAGGTCACTCCCTGAATGCACAGAACCAAGTTACCATGTTTCTGTGAGAGATGCCCCAGCTTCTCTTGACTAGGCCAGTCAGAATTAAACAAGCCATATATTCTGTTGTTTCCTGCAAACATCATTCTCCTTTTATAATTGTGGAACATTAATCTTGTTAGTTTCATGGCAGAGCTTTTGACACAGATGTGATAAATGAGGAATGTCTATGCTCAATTAAATAATACAGCTCTCCAATATGGATACAGGATATATCTGAAAAGTCACCCAGCAATGAACATATAATCGAGGTGACACATTGATGGGGACAGTAGGTCTGTTCCCTACCATATTCTGGATACTTTTCTTTTTGCAGTGGGAAGTGTAAACCTTTGACTTTTTTTTTTTAATTTGAGAGCGGATATGTCTACATTTCCACTCTGATTCATTGACCTGACTTTAAACTTAAATGCTAACAGAACTTGCCATCTGCTACTTATAACTCCTCGGTGATTTTTCTGTCACTGATTGTTGTTACTTAGCCAAACTCTTCACTTTGGCGAAAGGCTGCCGCTCACTTCTCTCCAGGCTTCTGACCTGGCCACAGTGTCCTCCTTTCTTATTGTCACATATCCAACCTGTTATCCCTTCTCGCTGAGGTGGTCTTGTTCAGTGGGGTCTGGCTCTCTGTTAATCTCTATTTTAATGACAGTCCCTCTCAGGTCTGCCCCATCTAATGCAGCTTTATATTTATGATAGCTTAATCATCAACTTCTTTACTTTCACTATTTAGATAACATGGTAGTCTACCAACAGCATCAAAGAATTAAGATATTTTCCTTAACATGTAATTATCTAAATTAAATATATATATATATATATATATATATATATATATATTTCAGAACTGCTAGAAATAAGCAGTAGTGAAACAATGTTCTTTAAGGTTCAGGGCAGCTCACATTTTGATAAGATTTCTGGAGTTGTTTTTGTGGTTTTAATTCATTTAGTAACTGTATTTCTTGATTATTTCATTTAATTTATTCAGTCACTATCTTCTGGGGCTTCAGATGATTAGAGTGATTTATCATTGTTTTACAGAACCATTATTCCTCTACAGTTTTGAGTAGGAAATTGCCAAATGGTAGATAGACATCTCTGTTCTCCTTTGGTTTTCTGTGTATTATTTGACAATGATGTCAGGTTCTTTTCTTGACCCTCTGCTTTGTGAACGCCGAAAGTACCTGCAATCCCAGCTACTCAGGAGGTTGAGGTAGGAGAACTACAACTCTGAGGGTTAACCAAGGCCAATTAGTGAGATGCTGTCTAAAACAAAAGTAGCTGAAGATGCAGCTCAGTACTTCCTGGTTCAGTTCCCAACACTGGGAAAAATAAATTTTGTTTCAAAAACTTCTTTATCTCAGCGACACTGCTTCTCTCTTCTCTTTAAACTTCATCTAATGATCCTTCCTCTTTGGACAGAGAGTCTGTTCTTCACCAGTACCAGCTGGCTTTGGACCTTCTGGCCACCCCAGCACATGCCATGTGACACAACTGCTACAGAGAGATAATGAGTTGTTATTTAGCCACTAAGATTTAGTGTCATTTTTTATGCAGAATAAGAAACCAGACACCAAAATTAGCATTCTGCCATAACAAAATATGTGACATTAGCTTTAGAGTAGGTGCCAGAGAAGGACATAAGGGAATAAGAATACTGCTAATGGTTACTGAAGTCAGGAAATTGCAGCTGGAGGTTGTACAGTGAGACGCTTGTTTTAATATGGACAGAAAAATGAGCAAAAGCCTCACCTCCAGTAACAGAAATAGTTGTGTGTAACAACTAACATACAGCTAACATTCATATAACAACCGTATCACATATGTGCAACATAAAACAGAAACATGTAGCCTGTATCATAGAAAAACTAATGAACTTGTGGATCTAAGAATTTTTAGCACAACATTGGACACAGACACTGGTTCCCGAGGCCAATGAGATAACTCAGCAGACTGAGCACCTCCTTAGGCAAGCGCAGGGACGGGGATTCGATCTCTGGGCTTAGGTGCTGCACTGGCCCCACTCATGGACATGCCAGCCACCAAGTCTGGTGTGGTGGCTCACAACTATCATCCAGCACTGGGACACTGAAAACAGGAAGGTCACTATGAGTCCAAACTGCATTGTAAGACCCTATACCAAATACATAAATTAAAAAAAAAAAAAAAAAAAAATGGTTCCCTTTTTAAACCTTCCATGACCATAGTATAATAAAAGATAGATTAAGACAAAACTGCTTAGACCTTACTTGGACTTTAGAGGAAATATTTCTTTTTTTTTTTTTTTCTACAGTTTTATTGATAGATAGCAATGAGACAGTTTCAAATCAAATCGGAAGTACAGTTTCAACAAATAATACACTGCATATATTCTTCTTAGTGGTTA